AAAAAAAAAAAAAAACTCATAGAATTTTAAGAACAAGTCTTAAATCCAATGAACAACTATGGACTTTCAAGAAAAATGTTCGTTTTTTACTCAAATCTAACAAAATGTTAAACAAACATCGTAGATATGAACTATATACGATATTAGTCCATAAAAGCAGACATTTTATTGTAAAACGGTGACATTAAACACTTCGAAATAAACATTTTGGATATAAGTATAAAGATTTTTTAAAAAAATTTGAAAAAAACTTTGGAGTATGAACCGTAGTCTGAAATTAGGCATTCCGGAAGAAATTGTTATTTTTCAAAAACTGAAGACATGGTTATTTTCTTTAAAAAACTCAAATTACTTAATTTCCCTCGGTTCAATTTGCATGAAAGCCATGTTGGAAAGGTTACCTTGATCTCGATTACAGAACTCTATTCAACAGCGAAGAACAAAATTTCCATTATTCCATACATGAAAAATATACAAATTGGTCAGTGACAATTTAAATAAACGTAATAATCAACTAATAATTCAAATTTCTCAATAAATTAGTAACTAATAATAGATGTAAAAAAGAAATACAAGCAATCATTACATAAATTGTTTGTAACAACCATTCAAAATACATATCTTAAAACATAAAATAGATATGATAATCATTTTATAAATACACGTTTTGAAATAACATCTGTATTTTATTATTGCTAATAAAAGAATAATAAATAACTAACCATTTTAATTATTCTTGATGGTTGGAGGTTTGGGGCGATATATGTTGTAAGGTGCGAGCGAAATCATGTTATATAGAATGGATTGGGAGGTTTTGGTATGCGAGCAGTCGAATTTGACCCATGGTATCAAATTATCTATGGTGTCACTTGATACCTTGCCAACCATTGATTATGCAAAATAATTGTTTAACGGCGAAGATCGTATGATATTTAGTGGCAAACTAAAACAGCCGAGTTCAAAGAAAGAAGGTAAGGTACCCACGTGTGTTCCACTGTATCATTATGTAGTACTATTATTTTGACAATTTAATAAGAGTAAATTACAATAATGGTCCTTGTAGTTTGTTTAAAATCGTAGCTATTGTCCGATCATTGAAAATTTGATTTGATAGATTACATGGTTTAAAAAAATTCTTTCATCTAAAAAGAAAAAAATATATATTATTTTGCCTTTTTCATATCTTTTTTCTATTTCTTTTATCTATTTCTAAGTTTAATTATAGAAAATAAGAAAAAGATCAACCTCATTCCCCAAAAGAAATAACAATCTTCTTAGATCTAATACCGGAAGACAACAACCTTTAATTCATAGATGCTTCTAAATTGTTCACATAAATGATTGTTTATGATCTTTCTAAATATGAATTCAGCATCTAATCAAATCTAATTTCAATATCAATCCACGTTTCTACCTTACAACACATGATTCCAAATTCAACTGTGGAGTTGTGAGACTTAAATCCATGCATTGCAATTGCTAGCTCAAATGATCCTTTTGTTCCTTTAAATACATTCAAACACTTCTAGAATTGCAATCATTAATTTCATTTAGATAATACAAAGTGTTTTTGTGAATAAACTTTGATTTAGAAATAATATCATTCCATTGCATGGTAATTCGCTATTTCATTTAGAAAGTACTTTTTTCACTTCATGCAAACTTTTTCCCTAACTTCAAACGTCTATAACATTTTTCATATGAAGTCGGATTTAGTCGATTCTTTATCTATGGATTCATTATCATATCAACCACACAAATTTCACTTAGAAAGGCACTACATATTGCCACGTTTTGATCTTACATGGTTAACTGGTGACGTTTTTTTAACTTCAATGATCTTTTGAGTCAACAATCCTAGATTTTAAGAGCAAATTTCACGACAAAACGTAATTTGTTACTGGCTATGTCACAAAACAGTACTCCCTCAAAATCAACAAAATTTCAATAGATCCAAGATGTTATTGTGAGTCGTTTTGCATGTACTTAAAAACTTTGTTTCTTCAACTTAATAGGAACTTAAAAAAAAAAAAAAAAAAAAAAAAAAAAAAAAAAAAGTCTACACCCCTTGTGATGGAACCCCAATGAGTTTGTCAACCATTTTCAGGACATGACTCATCTTTGGCCTAGACTTTGGGTTTTTAGACAAGCATCTGTTGGCTATAATCCACAACTTTTGCGCTGACTTAATCGAATAATCATCTTCAAGTCTTGGATCAACAGGTACCCTTTTTGATTGTAGGTAGGACTTCACCCTTTTTATAATCTGTAGGTCATTCTTAGTAGGGTTTCTGTCCAATGGGAGCCTACCCGATATAAGTTCACACAGGAAGCACCCATAGCTCCATACATTGCATGCGGCTGTCAGATGTCCTGTTTCAATGAATGTTTGATTGTACTCTGGAGCCGAATATCCTGTTGTTACCTGATCATGACATTATATATAACATATATATCAAGAAATCCAGATATTTAAAGATGAAAACTTTGGTTGTAGACTTGAAAATCCAACAAATTAAAAGTAGGAAGGTAGCATACCGAAGAGGTTGAAATATAGTTGAGGGGGTGAGGATGTAAACTAAGCCATCTGAACGAAAGCTTAGCGTTCCATTGATCATCTAGAAGGATATTGGACGATTTGAAATCTCTGAAAATTACCTACAAACATCTTCATTTGTAAACTACTTGTTTTTAAATGTAGTGAGCCATTGAAATACGTACCTGATACTCCGCTCCTTCATGCAGATGGGCTAAGCCACGAGCAACATCTTGAGCTACTTTCAGTCTCATTGTCCACGAGAGATGTGTTGTGGACGTTGCAGATGATAAGCAATCCTCCACACTTCCATTACGCATATACTCATAGACTAGAATCGGGTTTATTTCCGTTTCATCGTCTTCTACACAGTAACCAACTAGTTTTACAAGGTTTGGATGATCAATCACACCAAGGAGACTCGCCTCCCTTAGCCGTTTTATATGTCCCTGTTGCAATAATCAACACCAAATTCAAAACCTTTCTGAATTCTCTTGTAATCTCACGCTATTTCAGAAAGAAATTGAGGAAGAAAATTAAACTAACCGGCAATCGTCCATTGGCGAGCTTTACAGCCACCTGAATCTCATCAAACGGACATTCCAGACTCTTAACTGTGCCCTTATGGACGCTCCAAAATTCACCCTCTCCAATCTTGGAAGACATGTCAAAATCGCTAGTTGCTGACTTGAGCTCGTCGAATGTGAAGACCCTCAGATTGTTTCCTTTTAGGGCAAAATTTGAGGAGGTAAGATGATCGGATTTGGACCGTTTGAAATCCGACGAAGCGGTATAAAACGTTTCATTCGAACTCGATTTTGCTCGACTTCTGGGTTCATATTCGAATGAGAAACATCGACAATGAAACACCATTCTTCCTTCAAATCATTGATTTCAAAAAGGTAAATTAAGGTAATAACGAAAATGCGAAAGAAGGTGTTATGGAAACGTGACACCACTCCATGGAAACTAAATGGAATCTGTCTACTGGTAGTGGAAATTTCCTTCTCAATTTCGGAGGTGACGATATATTCACTTTTTGTTTTAGAAGAAATTCATTTACCATTTATTTCATTTTGTGTCATTATGAAAAAATATAAGATTCTTTTTTGCAAAAAATTCTATTGAAATATATGATTTTAATTTTTAAGAAAGGTTTCAACGAGAGTTATAGGTTCGGACGTTGGTTAAGTTTGGGTTTTCTTGTTTAATCAATAAAGTTAGAAAAATAAAAATATCAATCCAATTCAACTTATTTAATTTAACGGACCGAAAGTTTAATGCATGCCTTGGATTAAATTCATTTGTACAACTACAATCGCTTTTTATTCATACACAATAATTTATGTATATATAAAGCATAACTTGTTATGTATGGCTAAAAAATATTGTGTACGGATTAGGGCTGACAAATTTGTACCACGGAAAACCAACCAACATGTTACCAACCGAACCAATAAACTTGGTAGCCAATATATTTGTAAGCCAATATGTTTGGTTGATAGTACCGTACCAATTGATCAATGTTGGTACGGTAATGGTACAAAAATTTGAATACCATGGTAATACCGTACCAACCAATTTGTTATATATATGTGCTTTAACGTGGTAATAACTATCGACTAATACAATCAAATGACTAAAATAATATTATTAAAACTGTAAACACTAAACACAATTAATAGTTGAAATATACGATTTCATATATATATATAT